GAAAAACGAGCAAATGAGCATGATGTGCTTTCTGGGTGCCAGGGGCCAGATTTGAGAAGCAGTTATGCAAGTACTTACGAACGTGTAAATCTTTCCTTAATATTTGATGGCTTTGGTTACATTTACTAAACAGTTTACAAGCATAAAAACTTCCTAATCAACTGTTGTTATTGTTATAAACAGCCTCTTGGTACTTCGGAGTTCATTAACTGTTTAATAATTGTAAACAAAGCCACCAAAGATTGAGAAAAGATGTACAGGTTCATAAGTGCTTGTGTAACTGCTTCATGAATCTGGCCCCTGGCCCGGTCGATGGCAGACATAGAATTCTCTAAATCATATGTGCATTTCTATAGGCCATTGCTCCCTATATGCCTCTCTAAGGGGGGAAGGGGGGAGCCAGGTTCTGGCTCGTGGTCCCCAGTAGGCCTAGAACTCCATTCACACTAACTGATTTCAAAGTCTAATAATATACATATCAGCCTGGAAAGCTCCAGGGAGTCGAAGGGTCTCCCCCAGAAATGCTACATATATGAGTATTATTAAATCCAATAAAGGAAAATCACATAATTTTCTCAACAAACTGACAAGAGGAGGGGGGCTGTTGGCGGGCCGTCATTGGTGGGGGAAGGTGGTGGCCAGCCACTGGTAGTCAGGTGCAGGAGGGGAGGGGGGGTGTTGTAGTATGTCGGTAGAAAAGGAAGAGGGGGGGGGGGCCAGAATGGCAGGCTTCGGGACAGATCAAACCTTGGGCCAGATCAAACCTCGGGCCAGACCAGGCCAGATAAAGTCTCATTCAAGACCAGGCCAGATAAAGCCTTGGGCCATACCAGGCCAGATAAGGCCTCGAGCCAGAACAGGCCTCAGGCCAGACCAGGCCTCAAGACAGACCTCAGACCAGGCATTGGACCAGACCAGGCCTCAGGCCAGACATATGGCCTGAGACCAGGCCTTGGACAAGACCAGGCCTCAGGCCAGGCATTAGACCAGGCCTTGGGCCAGTCTAGACCTTAGGCCAGACCAGACCTCAGGCCAGATCTCCTGCTTGATACCTGCTTGATCAGGTTCTGGGAATTGTTCTTATCCCCCTACCGCAGCCCGAGGCCAGGCTCGACTTATGAGAGCTTGGTCTACCAGGCTGTTGCTTGGAGCGGCCAGCAGGCCCACATATCCACCACAGCCCGGTTGGTCCGGCACTCCTTGGAGAAAATGATCTAGTTTTCTCTTGAAGATGTCCACAATTGTTCCGGTAATATTTGTTATACTCGCTGGGAGGTCGTAGAATAACCGTGGACGTCTGATGTTTACACAGTGTTCTCTGATTGTGCCTATGGCACCCCTGCTCTTCACTGGTTCTATTCTGCCTTTTCTTCCCTATTTTTCGCTGCAGTATGTTGATATTTTACTGTGTAGATTTGAGACCTGGCCCTCCAGTATCTTCCACGTGTACATTATTTGATATCTCTCCTGTCTCCTTTCTAGTGAGTACATTTGGAGAGCTTTGAGACGATCCCAATAATTTAGGTGCTTTATTGCGTCTATGTATGCCGTATATGTTCTCTGTATTATGCACAATATGGTGTGCATATTGTTGATTCAATTATGTTCATCAAACAGTAAACAAATACTTTGTCGGTTATTACACTATATACACAGGTTATATATAAGTATCTGCATGTTTTGTTCACCATAACAAACCACTAAGTTGCTATTATGAGTCAAAAAGTAACGAGGAGTGACCGCTGTGTACCAGCCAGCCACTCACGCCCTCCCTCAAGTCACCTGACTCACCGACATTCTCCTCCCACAATACTGTTTTTGCTTTTATTCACTATATACAGACGCTACATATAAGTATCTACATTCGTGTTTACCATAACGAACCACTAAGTTGGCATGCTGAGTGGCAGTGGCAGTGGCAGCCAGTGGCAGCCCGCCACTGGCTGCCACTCCCTCCCTCCCTCACCTCACCTGACTTGCCACCATTCTCCACCCACCATACTGTTTTTGCTTTTATATACAGACATTATATATAAGTATTTACATGTTTTGTTCACCATAACTGTACATCTAAGCTTGTATGGTGAGTAAAGGCACAAAGACGTAGGACCTCACACAGTCAGCTGGCTGCCGCCCTCAAGGCCAGACACACTTTCTCCTCCAACAATACTGTTTGTGGTGTTATTACGCTATATACACACAGTACATATAAATATCTACCTGTTTTATTCACCATACTTGTACAAGTAAACTGGTATGGTGCCCAAAGACCATCGTGGTCACCAGTAAACAACATGATAAATCGTGCAGACGACGCCACCGTCCTCACCAAAATGGCGGCTCCCAACATACTCCTCTTGCTGTTTATACCCTCTATACACACGTTATACATAAGTATCTACATTTGTGTTCACCATAGCGAACCTCTAAGCTGGTATGGTGAGTGCAGTCAATAAAAGGTGGCCACACACAGTCAGAAGACAACTCCACCACCCTCCCTCCCACAGCATTACTCCTCCCTCCATGGCGCACAGCGCTAAATATCACCACAATCCTGCTATTATCAGAACCCTGGTCAGTTTTATCACAGTCAGGGGTCTTCTGTAATAATATCATCGCTACATAATAGCATGCACAAGTTTATATGGTATTTTTAGGTGATGCTGTGGTCACAAGCTGAACAGCAGTGCTGTGAGCTCATGCTGCGTGCGTCAGGCTTGGTAGCTCCCTCAATACTGAGGCCCCTAACACCCGGGAATTTGGCCCACGATTTTTTTTTTAAATGGCGTCTGTTTACAAGAGCCCTGATGAAGGTGTGGTGAACCCCGTGTATCCGCGGGCCGTTTAAATCTTGCGTAGTACTCCAAAGCATCATATGATGAGATGCACAATTTACTGCAAGTCAGTCAAAGCATCATATGATGCGATGCGCAATTTAACCCTTCAATCTTGCTATTATAAAACTAATTCTAATATCATAAAAGACATATTTACTACAAGTTTCAAGCAGAGAATGCACAAATAGTTAACACGAAGGACGCCTCTTGATGAAACTAAAATGTTTTGTTTCTTATAAAATCAATCCTCCATATTGTGTAATAGAGAAAAATTTAGTTATATCCAGTTTACGTAAAGCTACGAGTGGTCGACAGCAACCTTAGCGCGACGGATCATACTTACGAAGATTTTCCTTCTTAAATGCATATCTGAGTACCGACGAAGTCGCTACGAAAGGGCTAAGCAGAAAAACATTCATAAGTACGTACGTAACTACTTCGTGAATCTGGCCCCGGACCCGTGGTCAGGACCTTGCCCTTGCTAAGCTAATAATTGCAGCCAGGTAGCTGGGTGTGTATTTCAAACAAGCCGCCGGTTAAGGTGTGGCTTGGTAGATGGCCTGGGGTTATCTATTTAGTAAGTGGAGTTAGCTCCCAGAATTGCAATAAATACCCAGGGAACTGTACATTCAAGAGCAGGGCAGAGGACAGCAGAGCAGAGCATAGCATAGCATAGCAGAACATCAATAAACTGCAGCCGAGACAGGCTGTCGGCCGGACGGGGGGTTTCTACCTGCCAACTGTAGACCCTACCCCACCTCTCTATTCAGCTTATGCAGACACTTGGTGAGTGAACGTTAAGGTGACTTATTTCGTGTTTCCAAAACTAAAAGAGTTGAGTGATTATCAGGGGGCAGACAGCTATAGTGTCCTCAATGTCTTGTGTGGTGACCCACATTGTTTATTTATCTGGACATAGTGAACCTTAAGTTCCATAAAGCTTGAATTATGATATTTATCATATTAAATATAATTGTGAATTTATTGTTTAAATTGTCTTTAATTTTGTTTCCTTAGATCTTGGATTTTCTGATGTACTGCAAACTAGAGTGTAGAGTACTCTTGAGTTTACTGACTTTAAGAGTCTTGCATGGAACAAGATACATGATTCCGGTTGACACATGCTAACATCATCTTTGATAATTTTGTGATACAGACAAGTTCCATTCCTTGTCTTGTATGTAATCGACTAGAATGGATGATGGCAGCACTTTCTATTCCTTCCTTTCTACTTCTACTCATCTACCTTCTACCATCACAGGGAGCCGGTCGGCCGAGCAGACAGCACACTGGACTTGTGATCCTGTGATCCTGGGTTCGATCCCAGGCGCCGGCGAGAAACAATGGGCAGAGTTTCTTTCACCCTATGCCTCTGTTACCTAGCAGTAAAATAGGTACCTGGGTGTTAGTCAGCTGTCACAGGCTGCTTCCTGGGACACTAAAAGCCCCGAAATCATCTCAAGATAACCTCAAGAAGAAGATCACTTCCTACTTTCTCTCTTCTCCCTCCACCTTTCTACACTTTCCCTTTTCAACTGACCACTCCTCGCTACTCCCAGACTCCACTCCTTACTCCTCCCTCCTCTCAACCTTCCCTGCCCCAAACCCTCACCCATTACTTCATTATTCATTTTCTTTTCCATTTCTCCTTTATCCCCTTTCACAATTCCTACCCCCGTTACACCACTCCCTGCCTTTCCTGACCACTTCCACCACTGACACCACCTGCCTCCACTGACAACTTCCACCACTAATTCCACCTGCCTCCCATGAAAATAACTTCCACCACTTGCCCCCTGACAATAAACCTTAATTATTGACACCATTTGCTCCCCCTGACAACAACTCTCACAAATGACCCCTGACACCCTTTTATCATCTTTCAACCACTTCTTCCTGGAAACAATGGTTAAGCATAATAAAACACTGTATAACTGTTTACACTTTGGTAAATCATAGTTGATGACAGCCACCTCCGACGCTTGGTCTCGATGATCGCTTGGATGAACAATCCTCACTTAGTCGAACATTTGTATGTTCCATTGAACATTTAGTACCAAATTCAACTTGTTCGGATCATCCGGGAATTCGATAGAGCGGGGTTTGTTAGAGTGAGGATGCACTTTAATGACATATTTATGCCACCATGAAGAACTACAGTACCTTTAAGATCATTCAAGACATTCTGAGTGAGTCTTGGAAGCTCCTTGTGTCTCAGCTGTGTGTCCCACCACACCAGGTACACATTGAGCATTACTGCCACCACAATGAACAAGGACTCTGCAGGCAGGTGATGGTATCTGCATATAATGAGAAAATTAATACATTAATGATGAGCCGTCTCTCTCCCATAAATCTTTGAAAAACTGTTAATCAATTCCCATGTTTATGTATAAAATAAGATCATGAGAATAAATGATATTGTAGATGGCCTGTACTGGCCCATATGAGGCAGCTCCAAATTACATTCATCCCAAATTATCACCAGATAATTTTTTCCATAAATCAACAACCCTGTTTACAAGCCATTGTTTTTTTACGAACAAAAAATAAAGACTACAGAAAACTTATTTTGGCCCCACACAAGACAGCTTCAATTTATATACAACCCAAACCCATTGATATACATGTCTAATTTTGGAATGAAATGATTTAGCAATCCTGCATTGCTGTGTTTTGCATATTCACATATACATCTCTACTAATATGCAGTAAGGACCTTTTACACTAAGAGTGGTTGAAAAATTAAGATAATCATATCAAGATTTTGATTTGTAGTTTACAGACTAAAAAAAAAAAAGTGTTGAATGTAATGAAATGCCATTTTCTGGATGAGCCCCGGAGGCTCCCTGGAGCTTATCGGGCTAATGTATGTTATATTAGACCGGGACATTAGCTATGGAGTTGATACCTACCAGGGACCATGAGCCAGAAACTGGCCCCTTCAGAGAGGTTTCAGGGAGCAATAGCCCTGGAAAACCCCCCCCTGTGGTTGGGGGTTTTCTCGCAATTTCTATTGAACCAATCCTGTTTCCTAGTTCTGCATCTCTGTTTTGGTATAAATTTTTTTGTGCCTTTATCATATATTTCACAAAACTTGACATACATCTCATTCACTTCCTTGCCTAGCATCAAGTCTGTCCAATTATACTCACTAAAAAAATTTCTAAGGTCACCATAATGTCCTCTCCTGAAGTCTGGTTTTTCAACTGCTTCAACCTCCTTATTTTCTTCCAGCTTATAATGCATTGCATACTTTATTCCCAAAAAGACATGGTCACTTTTACCCAAGGGAGGAAGGTACTGAATGTCAAATATCTCTTCCTCCTTCCTGGTAAATATCAAATCTAGCATGGAGGGAACGTCCCCTTCCCTCATCCTCATAGCTTGTTTAACATGTTGATACAAGAATGTTTCCAGGATGAGGTCTACAAATTTACAGGTCCAAAAATCTTCTGTTTTAGCTTCATATGCTTCCCAGTCTATGGATTTCAAGTTGAAGTCACCAACTATCAACAGTCGTGATCTATCGTTATCCGCTCTCGCTATAATCTCTCTCATTATTGTTATAAGACCTTCACATTTACTATCTAGCTCCTCCTTTGACCATGTGCTGCTTGGCAGTGGACTATATGCATTTATTATCATTAGTTTATCATCCTCATGGCAGATCTTTAGTGCTATTATGTCAACTTCTTGTGGATTGGCAGTCATTATTTCCCTCACCTTTAGGTGTTCTTTTACCAGCACAGCAACGCCACCGCCTTTCCTAATTTTTCTGTCCCATCTCCAAATTGAGTAGCCCCTTGGGAATATGACCTCATTTGAAATTACATCTTCAAGTTTTGTCTCCGTGAGTGCAACAATGTCTGGTGTCTGCAGCTGTATTACATCACTTAACTCCAGTATCTTCGATCTCACTCCATCTATGTTGGTGTATGCAAGCTTCAGGAACTTGTTCCCCCTCTCCTTATTCTTCACTCCCCCTCTCTCTATTGATTTTGTTGGTTTGCCTTTATGTACCACTTTACTGGTTTGCCTACCCCTATCACTTTGTAGAAAAGAGAATTTATTTCTTCTTCATTCCTGCTCTCATTTAAATGTTTTGCCTCGGCGAGGTTCAGTTTCAGCTTCTCTCTATCTTCTTTTGAAAGATCTCGTCTTAACGACCACCCTTTCCCATCCTCATCACTTTGCAATTTTCTAGCATTCCTTAGTACTTCTTCCATCTGTTTCGCACCGTTTAGGGTGATCCTCAAAGGTCGATCTTTCCCTTTTACGTACCTGCCTATTCTCCTTTAGTCGCACACATTCTCTATGGTTGTAAGACCTTCCACGAGGCCAACAATTTTATCTACTACTTTAGCTTCTTCTACAGCTCTTTCTGACCTAGATGTTATCGCCTTTTCTTTGCAGCCAAAAATGATCAGGGACTTACTCCGATCAACTGTGTTTTGCACCAACTTCGGGTTAGATGCCAATTCTTTTCTCACTTCCAGCCTAATGTTTGTTTTATCTTGGTTGCTGCAGTGTTTGACTTCCTTTACTGCTTCTTCTATTTTTTCCTTCTCCTTGGCCACTTGTGCATAAGTGAGTTGCATATCTTTCTTGCACTGTTCTATGTGTGTGCTGGCATCTGTGTCCTGTGCATTCAGCAGGAGAGCATAGTCTAATCTTCCTCCTCTGAGGTGAGTTGGTTGTTCATCACCCAGGACCCTAAGGTTTTCACTTCCCCTAACATAGTGACAGTTCCCATCCATTGACATTGGTCTGATGACAGTTGGCATCAAAGTGTGGGTGTTTGGCATTAAGGTCACCGACCAGCAGGATAGGTTCTTTGTTAGTAAATTCAGCTAATGTGTCTAGGTCAAGTTTATTCTGTGGCACATATAGGTTGATCATATGTAGGGCATTATTGTTTAAGTGAAGGGTTACCCCCAGAATTCATACTCATCCCCCATGTGGAGATTATCAATAATCTGTGCAGGTATGGTGTTACTGACATAGGTAATAAGACCCAGTTTTCTTTCTTCAGAGGGCAGGGCGAACTTGTGATAACCGCTGAACCTTGGGTTGAAGTTATCTCCCACCAGTGTCTCCTATAGTACTATGATGTCAGTTTGGTGTAGTATAGTACTGAATCAGTGTAATAGCTTCAGGGAGTCACAAGGGGGCTACTCAACAGAAAATTACATGAAAAAGACAGATAAAAAGAAGATAATCTGTTGCACATAGATATAAATAATATAATCCTAAAAAAGTACCAACCTTGGATCATTACAAGCAGCAAAGGCCACAAGCAGCACAACACCCTCAACAATTAATGCCAATGCTGATGTCCAACGAAATACAGAGATGTAACTCTTGTGATGGAAGGCTTCATAAAGAACACTCTTGACTCCAAAACCTTTGTTTCTGAAATAGAATGATTAACTTTTTATCTGTTCATATGAAATATATGAATCACTGTCATTACTCAGTTTCCTATTTATATCAGGTAGGGAGGTATGAAGGTATGAACAGGGAAGAAGATATAAAGGCTAAAGATATTAACAAACATGGATAGTGTGCAATGGGCAGTGACATGTGCTTACCCATAAGTGACTATGAGGGAGTGACATCTAGAACCTTATACCCCGCCTCCTAGCTATTTACATCTGGTGCACATTTACCTCTTTCAACATTACATTCATCATATTTTTTTCATAAAGCTTTAGATTGAATTGGCTTCAACAACCTCTTCCTTCAAAACATTCCACTTGCCGACTGCCCATACAGGGAACAAAAACTTCCTTACATCTCCATGATTCATCTGCATGTTCAGCTTCCACCAATGTCCCCTTGTGTAACCTCCTTTAATTTAACCCTTAAACTGCACAACACATCAATAGCTGTGGTGATTAACTGTCACGAAATTGCGCACCACAGCTATTGATGTGCTGGAGTACCACGCAAGATATAAAAGTCCCGCAGCTACACGGGGTTCACATCAGCTTCCTCAGGGCTCTTGTAAACAGACACCATTTAAAAAAAATCGTGAGCAACATTCCTGGGTGTGAGAGCCTCAGTACTGACTGAGCAACCAAGGCTGGCGCATGCAGCATGAGCTAACAGCATTGCTGTTCAGCTTGTGACCACAGCATCGCCTAAAAAGTCAAAATATATATGTAACTGGTATTATTTAGCAATGATAGTATTACAGAAGACTCCTGACTGATGAAAATGACCAGGATTCTGGTAATTGCAAGATAGTTGTGATAATTAGTGCTGTGCGTAGTATGGTGGGATGAGTAATGCTGAGGGAGCAGCATTATTGCTGGCTGGCTGCTGGCTCTGTGTGGCCACCTGTTATTGTCTGCACTCAACATACCAGCTCAGTGGTTCTCTCTGGTGAATACAAATGTAGGTACAGTACTTATATATAACATGTGTATTAGTAAAATACCAGCAAAAGGAGTATGTTGGGAGGAGCCATTTGGGTGAGTGAGATGGCATGACTTGACATGCTGTGTAGAGGGTGGCCACTATGCTCTTTGGGCACCATAACAACTTAGTTGTACAGTTATGGTGAATAAAACATGTAGATACTTATATATAATGATGTATATAGTGTAATAACACCACAAACAGTATTGCTGGGAGAGAAATGTTAGTGGGTCTGGCCTTGAACCAGTGAGGGAGGCAGCCATCAGCTGTATGTGAGGCGACCTCTCTTATTGCCTGAACTCACCATACCAGCTTAGTTGTACAGTTATGGTGAACAAAACACGTAGATACTTATATATAACGTCGGTATATAGTGAATAAAAGCAAAAACAGTATGGTGGGAGGAGGAATGTTGGCGAGTGGGAAATGTTAAGGGAGGGAGTGGCGGCAAGTAGCTGGCTGGCTGATGTGTGGCGGCCACTCCTTGTTTCTTTTTGACTCACCATACCAACTTAGTGGTTTGTTATGGTGAACAAAACAAGCAGATACTTATATATAACATGTGTGTATAGAGTGCACTAACAGCAAAACTATTTGTTTATTGTTTTACGAACATAATAATTGAATCACTAATATGCACACCATAATTTTGACTATAACATTGCTCACATATTTTATTATATAAATATACCACACTACACATTATTGAATAATATTACTGCCAAAAAACCAGCGTTGAATGTAATGAAACGCCATTTTCTGGGCGTGACCCAGAGGCTCTCTGGAGCTATCCCAGGCTGATATGCTAATGTCAGACTTTGGCATCAGTCATGTGTATGGAGTTCTTAGGCCTACCGGGGACCACGGCCAGAACTGGGTGTAATGGGGGTGGAGGAAATAGCTCTCTTTTGTCTATTATTCCACCCCCAGTTAACTAACGAAGCCGGGGGAAACAGCTCTCTTTAGTCCGTTATCCCGCCCTCAGTTAGCTAACTATTCTAGAGCACCCCCCAGAGTTCCTACAGCAACCTCTCTCATTCAACACCTTGTAACCTAGTTATTCGACTACCTAGGTGCTGGGACTACCTAGGTGCTGGGACTACAAGGCGCCGTAACTTGATCAGCTACCCGAAACCCTAGAGAACTCTAGAATACATTTCCCTGCCACAAATGTATAAGAGAAATGAAAGGAAAGAGATGAATAATGAAGTAATTAGTGAGGGTTTGGGGTGAGAGAGGTGGGAGGAGCGAGGAGGGTCGTCAGTTGAAAGTGAGAGTTTGGTGGAGGGAGAGGAGTAGATAGGTAGAAGTAGAAGAGTAGATAGTAGAAGTAGAAGAGTAGAAGAAATAATGCTGCCACTATCCATTCATTTGTCCGTACCTACAAGACAAGGAATGGAACTTGTCTGTACTAAAAGATGTTATTACCATGTATCAACTCTAAACCTGTACTCATTAAAATCATGAACCCAGTAACCGCAGAGGCTTTCTCACCTCAACTCAAAAACTCTAGGGAACAAAGTTAAAGACAATTTAAATAATAAATTCATCAATTATATTTCACATAAGTATCATAATTTAAGCAATTCAAATGTTCAAGATTAATATGCAAAGTGAGTCATCATCCAAGAATTCGAGAACCCTACAACTTGTCTGCCCCTGATCCTCCCACAACACTTGTAAACACGACCAAGTCACCTTAATTTTCAACTCAGCAAGTGTCTGTCTATAGCTGGATAGAGAGGGAGGGGGAGACTCTGCAGTTGTCAGGCAGCGTCACCCACCGTCCGGTGACAGCCTATCTCGACGGCTGGCCTCTGCTTTGCTCTGCTGGCTGGTCTCCTATTGCTTCTCTCTATGCTCTGCTCTCCGAGTATATATTGGGGAACCTAGTAGCTAACTCCGCCCACAAGTAGATAGCCCGAGGCTCTCTACGAAACCACTCCTTACACGTCGGCATGTTTGAAGGCTACCAGGCTACAATTATCCGATTAGCAGAAGCAAGGTGAAATTCACATGAACTGACCTCGGGTCACTTGAGGTCATGAACGCTTAGAGGTGTGAGTCTCAGGCCGACAAACTGGCGCCTCTCAAATCCTTGTCTGTGACTCATGAACTACAGTATATATATTTTAATTAAACTAAACCAAACACCTTTACGGTGTTACACGGGCCCCCCTCAGAGAGCAAGGAAAGCAATGGTCTATAGAAACCCCTGTGTGGTTGGAAGCATTCTATGTCTGCCATTGACCGGATCAGGCACCCAGAAAGGTAAGCGCCCCAAAACAAACCCCTATTCTGGTTAAAATTGTTACTAAAAGCCGAACTAGTGGATAGAACTCCCCAACAGAAAATAAGCAAACTAGTGAGACGTCACACATCGCCGCGCCGCTGTCTGCGCAGCTCCCCCCCTTCCCTGGGAGGGGGAAGGGGGAAGCCCCAGACCCTTCAAGCCCGCTACCCACACCTCAGTTTTGAGGCTGGATGTCAAAAACACAAAAAAAAACACCGGCCAGAGGGAGGGAGGGATGCTGGAGAGCCTCTGGGACTCACCCAGAAAATGGAGTTTCATTACATTCAACGGTGGTTTTCTGGGGGGAGCCCCATCGGCTCCCCGGAGCTAACTACCCACAGACGGAAAAAGAGAGACTTACCCGGGAGGTGGTCGTCGCTCACTCCTCAACTCGAAGTTGAGACAACTGGCTGCAACCGCCGACCCAAAGCAACACAGGCCCGACGGGGCCCAGGGACATTCACAAGGTAACGAGCAGCAAGGACCCTGTTCGACCGCCAAAAACCTCCTGCCCAAATATCAGACCAAGACATATTCCCAAAGACGGCAGCAAGAGCCGCTAACTTACAGACGTCATGGGCACGGGAATAGACCACAGGCTGGCTGGATTTGATAACCCTGCGGACGACCTGGGAGACCCAAACCCGCAAACAGGGAAGAAGGGAAACCGGATCAACCCAAAGTGAGACCCCGGACACAGAAGCCGTGGCGTGCAAATAACGGCGAACCGGAACAAAGCATGATGCACCCCTGGCCGTACCAACCAAGCATCAACCACCCACGGACCCCTCCAGAACGCAGCAGTCTCATTCTTCGCCAGAAAAGAAGGAGACGGCTGCATGCGAACAAAACAATCTCCACGACCAAAAGAGCAGAAACCCCTGTGCCGGAGGAGAGCATGAAGCTCCCCGACCCGACCCCAAGAGGCTAATACCAAGAAGAAAAGAGCCTTGGAGAAACAATCACGAACCGAAGGGGCCACAGCGAAACGAGGAGACGAAAGGTAAGCGAGCACTCTGTCCAAAGACCAGGACGGCTCAGGCGGCACATGAGCAGGCCGGAGGTGAAACAAAGCACGCGACAGCTTGCGAAACGGCGCAGACGTAACATCGATACCGAAGGCAAGCTGCAGCGGCTCCGCCAGCGCCGCACAACACGAGGCGACAGTGTTAGGCATAAGATGACGGTTCTGAAACAACCAAGAGAGAAAGGAACAGACCACCCTAACAGACATCGAACTAACATGACGAAGACGCAAAAAGAAACAGAAGGACCGCCAGGAAACTTTATACTGCCGCCGAGAAGAAGCCCGCAGGTGGGACACCAACAAGGAGGCCACCTGATCACCATAGAGATGATGATAGACTCGAGTCAAAAAACCCATACGCGAAGACTCGAGGAGAAGATCGAACCAGCCACGTGACGCACTGGCCCGATCTGCTGAAAGAGGTAGAGCCGCGGGAAAACCCTCAGGGTCGAACACCGAGCAAGCAGCGCCTAAAACCAAGGCTGGGCCAGCCACCAAGGGGCCAGAAGGACAATTCTCCCCTGGTAAGTCTTCAAGCGAGTCAGGCCTAGGAGTAACATCCGAACCGGGGGAAAGAGGTACAGGAACCCCCCACCTCGACCAGTCCAGCCGAAAGGCATCGACCCTGACGGCCTCGCGATCGGGGATGGGCGCCGCATAAACAGGAAG